CGGGGGTGCCCTATAGCCCTAAGCCCTATAGCCCTAAAGCCCAATAGCCCTATAGCCCTACAACTCTATAGCCCTATAGCTCTATAGCCTTATAGCTCAATAGCCCTGTAGCCCCCTAGCCCTATAGTCCTGATTGGGGCTTTACTCCGGTATCATTGAATTTTTCAATTGAAGTGCTTCCCCTGGGGCTCGCCCCTTGTTTTCCCAAACCGCCTTGGTTGGGCATTCGCTTTGCATAAATCACAGCGGTCGCGTCCTCCTCCTCCTCCTCCTCCTTCCGCCCCCCCTCCTGCTTGTCTCCTCCTGCGTTGCCTGGGGGGGCTGCGATCTGCGAAACTGTCGCCACTCTCGAAGGCTGATAGGGGGTCCAGCGGAGCGAAGCACCGCGCGGACCTGAGCGAGACCTCGCCGTCCAAGGGGGGCTGCCATCTGCGAAACTGTCGCCACTTTCGAGGGCTGCTGGTGGGTCCAACGAAGCGAAGCACCGCGCGGACCTGAGCGAGACCTCGCCGTCCAAGGGGGGCTGCGATCTGCGAAACTGTCGCCACTTTCGAGGGCTGCTGGTGGGTCCAACGAAGCGAAGCACCGCGCGGACCTGAGCGAGACCTTGCCGTCCCTAGGGGGCTGCGATCTGCGAAACTGTCGCCACTTTCGAGGGCTGCTGGTGGGTCTCCAGCAGAGTGAGGCACCGCGCGGACCTGAGCGGGACCTCGCCGTCCCTGGGGGGCTGCGATCAGCGAAACTGTCGCCACTTTCGAGGGCTGCTGGTGGGCTCGCCACTTTCGAAGGCTACTGGTGGGTCCAGCGGAGTGAGGCACTGCGCGGTCCTGAGCGGGACCTCGCCGTCCCTGTGCGGCCATGTGATGTTGTTGCTGCCCCGCCGGCGTTCCAAGCCCCTTGCCCACAATTTCCTTTTGGACCTTGCGTCTTCCTTAGTGACTCAGGGGTTCATTTAGTTACTCATCGTTTTTCCCTTGCTTGGGGACCTGCGAACCTCCCAGATGCTGCCCGCAGCAGTATGTGCGTCCATGTCACGTCGCCACCTTCTCGTCACATCTCCCAAGCTACTCCTGCTCCGCATTGCGCAGAGGTCGGGTACGTCGCCATGGTAATTGTTTATCCGGGAAACTCACGGGACTCAAACTGCGTTGTTGGCCCCCGGGTTTACAACAACAGCGGCTCCCGCCTGAGATCTCCTCACAATGTATTCCCAAATCGCACTCTCGCGCGGGATTGCCTCACCATTTGTCTACGAATCGCGCTCTCGCATGGGACTTCCTCGCAGTGTATTCAGACGATGCGCCCTCGGCGCTCAGATGTCACGCTCTCGCTTTGGCGTTTCGCACGATTTACTTGGGAATCGCGCTATCGCTCGAGACTTCCTCGCGATTCCTGCAGGACTCACGCTTCAGCAAGCGGGATATACACGTTGAGTGACACCCGGGCAGATAAGAACAAACAGTCTTAAACTGATTGTTATTGTTGTTGTTTTTTTTGGGGGGGCGGGCAGCCCCGGCGGCGTGGCCCCTCCATACTCAACAATTACTCACTGCGTGGAGCTCCACATATGTGTATATCATGTTTTATGTCATGCCATAATGAGCGTCTGTTCATGAGCGGTTGACTCATCAGTCTCGCAGCATGGAAACGAGCAAACCGCCTGAGACATCCCCGCAAAATGGCCGCGAACGGGCCCGTGTCCTGCCCCCTGGCGGCTCTCCTCAAAGATACTGAAACCAGCGCCCCGCCTGAGGCATCCTCAAAATCTGCTCTGAAAGCCAAGGATGTTGGGCATGAAAACGAGCAAACCGCCTGAGACATCCCCACAAACTGGCCGCGAACGGGCCCGTGTCCTACCTGTTGGCGGCTCCCCTGAGGGGTGCTGAAACCAGCGCCCCGCCTGAGACATCCTCAACACCTGCTTTGAAAGCCAAAGATGTTGGGCATGAAAACGAGCAAACCGCCTGAGACATCCCCACAAACTGGCCGCGAACGGGCCCGTGATACACCCCCTGGCGGTTCCTCTGAGGGGTGCTGAAACCAGCGCCCCGCCTGAGACATCCTCAACATCTGCTTTGAAAGCCAAAGATGTTGGGCATGAAAACGAGCAAACCGCCTGAGACATCCCCACAAACTGGCCGCGAACGGGCCCGTGATACACCCCCTGGTGGCTCCCCTGAGGGGTGCTGAAACCAGCGCCCCGCCTGAGACATCCTCAACATCTGCTTTGAAAGCCAAAGCTGTTGGGCATGAAAACGAGCAAACCGCCTGAGACATCCCCACAAACTGACCGCGAGCGGGCCCGTGATACACCCCCTGGCGGTTCCTCTGAGGGGTGCTGAAGCCAGCGCCCCGCCTGAGACATCCTCAAACTATGCCGTGTGTTGAGTAACTCAGACTATGAGAAGGTCAGAGTATGTGTAGGTCTCACTATGGGTAAGTCTGTGTATGAGTACGTCGGGGTATGAGTACGTCTGAGTATGAGTACATCTGTGTATGGGTAAGTCTGTGTATGTGTACGCCTGGGTATGAGTAAGTCTGAGTCTGAGTAGGTCTTAGCATGAGCAGGCCTGAGTATGAGTAAGTCTGTGTATGAATAAGTCTGTGTATGAGTACGTCTGGGTATGAGTAAATCTGAGTACGAGTACGTCTGTGTATGTGTACGTCTGTGTATGTGTACGCCTGGGTATGAATAAGTCTGAGTATGGGTAGGTCTGAGTATGAGTATGTCTGGGTAGGGGTAAGTCTGTGTATGAGTAAGTCTGGGCATGCGTAAGTCTGAGTATGAGTAAGTCCGAGAGGGGGGATGGAGGAGAAGAGGGAGTACGAGGCGTCCAAGTAATAACAACAACCCAATCTTAGGATATGGGGAACAACATCAACACCACCATCAACACTAACAAGAACAATGACACTACCAACAATAACTACAGCTGCAACACCAACAACGGCAGCAACAACAGCACCAACATCAACCATAATAACAACACCGACACCAACAACAACAACCTCAACACCAACCATACGAACAACAACCATATCGACCACAGCAACAACGACAACAACAACAATCCTGTTAAGACTGTTCGTTCTTGCTGGTACGTGTGTTTCGAATTATGTATACCCCGACCCTCGATACCCGTCCACTCCGTCTTCGATCGCACCCCCTGTCAGGAGGGGGCAGATCTTGAAAGTCGGCCACTGACTGAAATGAGCGAAAGCGCCGCTCCTGAAGTCGGGGGCCCCTCTGGCCATGGGCTCTCGGAATACAGTTTGAGAAATATCGAACGGGAACCCTTGTCGACGTGTCTGGGCCTCCACCAACTTGCCTGCTATTCCCTAGAAATGAATATTCAACCCCCACCCCAACAACAACAACGTGCCGAGCGCCCACCTTCCTTCTCATCCTCCTCCTCCTTATCCTCATCACCACGGTCCTCTTCTATTCTTCCTCCTCCTCCTCTACGCTGCCTTCCCCTCCTCATGCTCCTCCTCCTCCTCCTCCTCCACCTCCTTGCCCTCTTCCTCGTCGTTTTGCTCATCCTGATCCTCCATGTCTGCTCTCTGTCTGGCGACAGGAGTCCTCTACTTTCTCCGCCTCCTACCCCTGCTGAATGAGGTCCCCCTCTGACGGCCAGTCGAGTGTGCGCTGGTGGCGGGGTCCTACGGAGCAGGAGAAGACTCCTCTTTCCTGCTCGCTCCTCCTCCTCCTCCTCAGCCCTTGGCCTCTTCCCTTCCCCTCCGCCTCCTCCTTCTGCCTCCTCGCTCCTCCACGTCATCACCCCCTGAGGGCGCCCACATCAACCGAGCGGAGGCTCCATGTCGGGCCCGCGCGCCCCGGGACGGGCTCAAAGTTGTCGCACGGCCGCGCCAAAGGTGGCACGGCCGGGCAAACACCCTCAAGTAAAGAAGCAGCACGCGAGAACGAGACAAGTAAAGAGAGAGGGAGAGAGAGATAGCCGATCACGTCAAAGTGCGTTGGGATGGTGAAGCAACGCGCTATAGCCTATAGTACACTTATGGTAGCTCTGCCATGCGCCAGGCGGGGCCTTGGCCACTCGTGGTCAGTGGACGTTCTCGAATGAACAAGAGTGAAACTACGAAAAACGAGTCACGAGGGCCCCTGCGGATCTCCAGGCAAGCATGAAAGCACCCGCAGAGCCAGGGCAGGGACCAACAGGCGAGAGGCGGTGGGCAAGCTAGATGCGCACGCGCCATATCGAAAACCCTACCCCTACCACCGATCCCCTCCCGTTGCGCTGGGGCGCGCCAGGGGCGGCGCCGGAGGCGCCGCCAGGGGGACCTAGCGCCGATACAAGAAATCCGTATGAAGCTCAGAGCTCAGAATCTTCCTTGTATGCAATGTTTGCTCTTCGATTGGTGAAACACGCATCTGCTCACGCGTTGGCCGTCTGGCATGCGGCCAATCTTGGGTCTGAAAAAAAGAAGCCAAACGGAGAGAAACAACCCACAGGACGGAATCCAAGCGAAAGATGAGGTCAAGAGATCCGTGACCCCGTGTGTGGAACACGTCAGGACGTCGAAAGCTCTGGGCCCAGCGATGAGAGCACGGATGCTCAAGTAAGAGAAGACCTGGCGACCATGGCGCGCCCCGTGAAACTCAACAACAACACTAACCGTTGTGTGTCATATATTCTGGAAACGAAACCGAATGATGTGTCCATGTCTTGGGGGCACATGTTTTACTTCCGCCGGCTTCTGCCGGCGGAACCGCCCCTGTTTTGCTTCCGCCGCCTTCCGACTCTAAGGAGAGGCCGTTTCTGGAACGCCTGATTAGGCGCCACCGCTTCTCGATAACAATTGTTCGACCCCTTGGGGCCATCGTCCAGGGCGGACGCTGGGGAGAGACAGCAGTCCAAACACTAGGCGGCGTCCACGGCAACAAAAACCACCAGACCCCTACAGTGGACGAGACTATGTCGCCGAACGAACTTCGGCATTCTCCATTCCCCCTTCCTGATACCAAACAAATCCGTCACCGAAGTCGCCGTTGTCGTGGTTGCTTGCTTGAACCACATCCGGGTCAACTCACCTTGCTGTCGGGTGGGTTGAGCGCGGGGGGCGGGGCGCTGACCTCTCATCGTTCCGACCTTCCTCCTGTTCCATGCCATCTGTGCCCTTCGCATGCCCCAGATGTAAATGTGTATGTGCGTGTGTTGCTGTTGACCTCCCTTCGCTAACGTACTACCGAGCTGGCCCAACTTGCCAAGCATGTGGCAGAAGACAAGCATGATGTCACAATCCGGTCACTCCGTCAGAGCAGCTCTCTCCGCCAACACTGAGTATGTGCATATTTTGTGCCGATCCACAGAATGCCCCTGCGGCCGACTAAATTTCGGTCGCGCAGTCCCAGCCATTGTGTGACCGACCACGCTTTGCCGACGGCAGCTTGCCGACACCAGCGGTGTAAATTGCATGTTTCGCACGCGGCTGCCCGCCCCTCCACCCCCCTCCTTCCTTCCTCATCGGACGGCCCTGGGGGACCTTCCCGGAGAAGCGTCGCGCGCGCCAGATACAAATTATCGCCGTGGTCGCGCATGTGCGTTGGTGGAATCCGCTATATCCGATCTTGCTTCTCTTGTCGGGAACGGAAGCAGAAGACACACACACACACTCTCTCTCTCTCTCACACACATACACACATACAGAGATCCACCGCGGAAGAGGTGGGGAAATCCCACCAGCCCTTTGGGCGACAGGTGGTCTAAGGAGGGTCTCTCTCCTCTTCCACAACCCCTCTTCCCTTCGGGGAGGGGAACCCTCCCCCTACCCTCCCTGAGGTTTTTGTGGGAGGGGATCGCGACGAGTTAGAACGTCCTTTTTCGGCCGCTGGGAGGGTCAATTTTTGACACTCCTCACAAGGATCGTGACCCTCGAGGGGGGAACGGAGACAAGGGAACCCTCTCTGTTGATCGACTGGGGATGTGATTAACCCCGGGCAGGAGCAGACCACTTTTTGGCTACCCAACGCGCTTTGGGAACCATCAGAATTTCATCGGTTTATGTTAACAGAACTGGATCGTGAAGAATCTTTTGGATTTGTGTTTCATAACCACGAGGATTTCGGGCGCTTATGTTGGCGATCGGATAGTTTTTCCAGCGCGATTCTTGAAACACATGTTATGTTTTGGCCAACAACAGTTGGCAATAACTCAACATAGTAACGGCTTTCTTGAAATAAAAGGTTATGTTTTAGCCAAAAAATCGAGCGCGACAACCCAACATAGTTCAAATGCCAACGAATTTTTTGAAACACATGGTACGTTTGAGAAACAATTCGATTGCAATGGATCAACATGTTGGCGACGTGAACGCTAATGGGTTTGGATGTTTTGATCGGGCGCGCGTTGATTCGTGCGTGCGCTGTTAAATCTAAAGCGTTCGCCGCGCCGTTTTTGTAGATGTATCGTCAGGCGTACGCGCGTTTCGTGTTTTTGTTTTGTGAGGTATGCTTGTGAAACACATGATATGCTTGAAAAACAATTCGATTGCAATGGTTCAACACAGTTCACACACCAACGATATTTGGGTTGACATGGTAACATGATAACATATTGGCGTCGTGGGTCTTGATGTCTTGAGCGGGCGCTCGTTGATTCGTGCGTGCGTTGTTAGATCTGAAGTGTTCGCCGTACCGTTTTTGTAGATGTATCGTCAGGCGTGTGCGCGTTTCGTGCGGTTGTTTTGTGAGGTGTGCTGGATTTTTGGGGAGCGCCATATTACTTGCAGCATGTCTTTCTCACACGTTTCGGTCGGTTCGCGTCCGGGAGGGTCGTCTGGGGCTCGTGGTCGGCGTCGTCGTCGTCATCGTCCGTCGTCGTCGTGGCCTTCCCTCGCTGGTCGCCGTCGTCGTCGTCGTCTGTCGTCGTCGCCTCGTCGCCGTCGCCATTGCTGTTGTCAGTTGCTCGTCGTCGTGTCGTCTTCTCGTCTTCTCGTCGTCTGTCGTCGTTGTCTCGCTGTCGTCGTCGTTGGCCCCAGCTGTTGCCGTCGCAGTCGTTGCAGTCGTTCGTCGTCGTCGTGGCCGTCGTGGCCCTCGCAGCTGTCGTCGCCGTCGTCGCTGTGCCGCCGTGACTGCCGTGACTCGTGCCGTGCGGCCGCGCGGACTGATTTTCTCGAACGCGCGGCCTCGCGCCGCTGCTGCGCGCTCGGGCGCTGCGGCGCCCCCGCGCCGCGATGGCGGCGGACGCCGCGGAGGGCGCGGCCGCCGCGGACGGCGCGGACGGCCCCAGGATCGCCGGAGGCGGTGCGAAGGGCAGGAGGGAAGGACGACGGGAGGACGGTGAGAGGAGGAGGAGCGGAGGAGCGGAGGAGGAGAGGAGGAGGAGGAGAGGAGGAGAGGAGGAGAGGAGGAGGAGGAGGAGGAGGAGGAGGTTTCTCTCCCGCAGGATCGCAGTTGCGATGTACGGTTACGCCTTCTCCCGCGCCGAGGGCGAGTTCCCGACGTGCTCTTTCCAGTCCTTGCGCCACGTCGTGGATTGCTGCGTGGACATCGGCGGGATTGATGCTCGTGACCGTGCGGAGGAGACTGCTCTCAGAGCCCAGGTCATAACGAAAGTGTCAAGTCTTCCACTCAGTGTATTGGGGGCGCCGTACGACACGTCCCACCTCCGTGCAGTTGTTGAGGATGCGCGTGGTGGGGAAGCCCGCCCCTCCTACCCTCCCTCCTACCCCTCCACTCCCTCCGCTGCTCCACTGATCCTAAGGCAAGTTGATTTTGTTCGGGCGTTCACTTTAGGGCTTTAAGGTTTTAGGGTGTTTGCTGGATTCCTGAGGACGTTTTCAACATTCACGGTGTCCCCTGGGAAGTCGTGGACAGAAGTGTGGGGCAACGTCTTCGCGCTCATGGCGCGACGGCGGCGTGCCTTGGACGACGCCTTGCCCGCCCTGCCCCCGTCCCCGCTCCCTGGAAAGGCAAAGGCGCTGGCCGTGGCAAGGGTCCAGTGGGTCCAGAGAAAGGCGGTAAAGGTGTTGGCCGTGGCCGCAGAGCTCGCGGCCTCGGGAGGGCCCAGGCGTCCCAGGCAGCTCGACGACATTTCGGAAGAATGGTGCCGCTGGATATTTACATCTAGCCACATCCCCAGGATGAGGATGATGAGGAGCAGGAGGAGGAGGAGGAGGAGGAGGAGGAGGAGGAGGAGGGGGAGAGGAAGAATGCGGGCTTGTTTTCGCCATGAGGTATCAAGGAAAGCTCAGTTGAGTGACGTCCGGCGATCGTTGCGGCAGACTCGCAAACAGCTGACTGAGTGGAAGAAGAAGTGTTTCGAGCTTCGCGCCGAGGTCAAAGAGCTCAAGTTACATGTGTGGGAGCTGAAGCACGGCTCGGTCATTAGGTTAGGCAAGCACAGATCGAAGGCACGCACGCGGGTTCCATAGCGTAGTTGTGTCGGTTGTGTCGATCCCTACTCAGAGTTCCCCCCTATCAATGTTGAGCCCCCCCCCGCCCCCCCACCCCCCCACCCCCGCCAACTCACTATCCCGCCACCCCGCCACCCGCCTTTAGTTTCCGCTCAGGGCGCGAAGATCTATCGCATGTCCACTTGCGGAGGTTATTCGCTCGCCTTCAAGCGCAACAGGGGCCATGCTGGCTGCGAAGCTCTCTTGGCGCATATCGATGCGCCGCTCTCGAGATATTCTGTCCAAAGGTGGGAGCACTTGTTGGGGGCAGCTTGTGTAGTGAAGTCTCGTATATGGTTTGACTCGCACTACAAGTATTTATGCCATTTGGATTTCGCTTGCAGTGAGACGCTCCTACAGCAAGGTCTAAGGGCTGAAAGGAGGAGGGAGAGGGAGGATGAGAGGATGAGGAGGAGGAGGAGACTGAGGAGAGGAGGAGGGAGGAGGGGGCTGATGAGGAGATGAGGACGAGGGGGATGAGTAACGGCGTAACGGCGGCCTCCTCACGCGGCTGCGGCACCTGCGGCAGGGAGGTTGCAGGGGGGGTGGGGGTGGAAGGAGGGGAGGATGGAAGGATGGAAGGGTGAGGGAAGGAGTGAATTTGGGAAACAGAATGGAGGGACGGAGAGGAAAGGAGGGAGAAGGAGAGAAGGATAGGAGAAGGGGAGAAGGATGAGGGGGAGAGGACGAGGAGGAGGATGAGGATGATGATGATGATGAGGAGGAGGGGGAGGAGAAGGGGGAGGGGGAGGTGGAGGAGGAGGCGGCGGAGGCTCGGAGAGGAGGAGAGGATAGGAGTGGAGAGGAGAGGAGAGGAGAGGAGAGGATAGGAGGCGAGGAGGATGAGGAGGAGGAGAGGTCAGGACGGGCCCAGGTTGGAGACATAATGTTGAGTATGTTGATCATGTTGTTGATGGTGAAATGGTGAAGATGACGATGAAGATGCTGATGATGAGGATGATGATGCTGATGATGATGATGATGATGATGATGATGATGATGATGATGATGATGATGGCGAGTTGGCAGGATGAGGAGTAGAAGGATGAGGGGGGGAGGAGGAGGGGAGGGGGAGGGAGGGAGGGGAGGGGAGGAGCCCCAAAGAGCTCAAAGAGGAGTCAGTGGGAGAGGGAGAAGGAGGAGGATGAAGCTATTAGGAGGAGGAGGGAGGAGGTGAGGTGAGGGGGGATGAGAGGATGAGAGGGGGAGGAGGAGAGCAGGAGCGGAGGAGAAGCAGAGGAGTCAGGGAAGGGAGGGAATGGCCACCCCTCCACCCCTGCCCCGTTCTGCCGTTCTGCCCTCCCTTCCTCAGTCCTCCGTTCCGTTCCCGCCCTCCCAGCCATTCCAACATGTCCGACGCTGTTTCGATCGTCTGGGATCAGCGAACGGGGGCGGGGTGCAGGGGGTGCATGGCCCCCCTCCTTCCCAGCTCCATGGTTTGCGGTACTTTGCAAGTCCAGGTGAAATGCCCCTCGTGACCCACGAGATCCACAACGTCAGAGGGGACGCAACCAACTCGGCGGCGCCCGGACACTACCACAAAGCCCATTCGTGCCAGGTGAGGTCAAAATTCAGACAGGCCTTTCCACCAGCGTTGTTGGTTATTTTGCCGAGGGATGAATGCTGTCAGGACTGGGGCTGCGAGCCCGACTGCGACCCGAAGGTCAAGGTGGAGAAGGTTGAGAAGGTGGA